GTTACCTTATGTATAAAAAATATTACTTTGTTTTCATTTGTGAGCAAGTAGTATTTATGTTATGACCCCCTGACACTCCTCCACGCTCGACCTCTATGAAAAGCGGCCGAAATAGCGGCCGATTAGAGCATGTAACACTGTTACAGATCGAGTTGAAATAAAGGCTCAAACAAACAAACAAAAACTAATGCAGTAACCAACCAGTTTCATTCTGCGATGTTGTATTTTCTTTGGTGACAGGATGCAGATCTCGGTACAACTGCTGGTTTGTTAGCTTTTGCTAAAATTTAGAACTTGCACTTCTTGTTCCGCCGCTCAGAACCTTTCAGCGTGCCACTAGGTTCTCTTCCAGTTCTCATCAATACACCGTAAACATACCTGTCTCCGAGTCATTTTACAACAACAGCTTCTTTCCCCGGACTGCAAAATTATGGAACTCTCTTCCAAACAGCTGTTTTCCATTTGAGTACAATCAACAAAGCTTCAAAACAAAGGTTCACCGCCATCTCCTGACATAACTACACTATACTCACTTAAGTACCTCTAGCTCTATGCCTAGAAGTGGCCAAAAATAATTGGCCTTGCATTGAGCGACAACGTTAAAAAAAATTAATTTAGATTTCGAGCCCCAGTGCCACAGGTGATGCTGGGTTTACAGTTGTAGTACACAGCGGCGCCGGGAGAAGACAGCTGTGAACTGGTGACTGTCATTAACTGTGAGCTTCATAGAAGCGTCTCAGAGAGAAGGGTCTATAGAGATTACCTCCGCGGAGCAGGGTCTAGTTAATGGCTGAAGGAATTTCCCATGCACCATTATGGAGCAGACTGACTACGTTTTTGGCAGCCTTCCACCTGTCAGATCCTAGAAGCTTGATAACCAATTAAAACTCTAAATCGGTAGAATTGGAAAAAAGTATAATCCCTTTCCAAGACCAAGAACTGCCTTGTTACCAAATTGACTTAGGCTGTGATGACTGGTTTTACATAGAAAGCTCCTATTACAATAATTTTGAGAGTGATAATTAAAGAATCCCGAGATCCCATTGGTATATTTTGGAATGGGGATCTTTTTTTTTCAAACTGCATCATTGCTGTAGTCAGGTCCGGCTTTCTTTTTACTAAGCACATGTATCTAGTTGTCAAAAATTCACGAAAACCGAAAATTTTCCTGACGTGACGTATTTGTGTGTGTGTGTGTGTGTGTGTGTTTCTGTGTTTGTAGGTATGTATGTGTAGCCATTTTATGAGAGATTTTTCATGCCCTCCTAAAAAGTTGTTACTTGTAAGCACCAAGGTTTCAACGATGTATGAGGTCTCAGACTTTTTTTTCTTCATGCTGACACATCTAGATTCATGTTGTAATCAAACGGCACGGGTACCAATTCCAGGGTGGTTAGGTCTACGTAGTGTCTGTCCTCGGGACCAGAATGACCTCAAAATCGATAAAACCAGCGACAGAAGGTCACAGAACTAAAGTGAAACCTGCCCTTATATTCTGCATTCCAGATCGTCTGTCACAAATACTTTTGGACGTACTTCATCAATGTCTTTTCGCTGAATTTTTACGGTAATATCTTTACAGCAGGTCTTGTATGTGATTTTATGGCAGGTTGTATATTTTGTGGAGTTCTTTGTTATCGAGGAGCGCACACAGCTGTGGTACAGACAAGCGGATTAACTGTACTGTTATCGTTATAAACAACCTGTCTTAGACCATAGAGTGGCTTTATCTAACATCCCCGTAGTCATAAATCAAATACTAGTAACATATAAACTGAGATGGAAGCTTTGCGTAGTGTTCACCGTTTTTATAATATGTATGTATGAAATATGTGGTGAAACTTTCAGCTTGTAAATGCCTAGTGCTCGCATTGTATTGTCTTTAAAATTTTATATTCCAACATTTAATGACTAGATATGGTGACAGCACACTTGAATCAACTTATTTTATGCCGCCACCAACGCAGAGAATGAATACAGAATTTTGCACTTAGTCTACACGATGCACTGTAAACTAGCAGAATATCGTTTAAGGTTAATTTTGCTACTGATTTTTATTAATATAAAGGATTTAAAATGTTACATGTCCAAACCGACCGTCTGAAAAATGTCATGTAATTATGAGGATGATTTCTATGTAACTTACGTAGATCCCGAAGGGGAATATATTGTCAGGAGCTCTCATCGTGTCCTTAGGCCTGATTTGTCTGGTGTTATCTGCGACAGTCGACGTCTCAGACCTTCAGTAGACAATTAGGCAAAGTTGGAATCAAGGCAGCATTCGGAACGATGTGATACAGGCCACAGGACACTAATTCGCGCAGGCGCAGAGGGTCCAATTGATGAGCGCATCCACAGCAACTGTAACTGTTATCCTTGGTATGTGTTGATTTTTTTCCAGCTCGGAGGTTATCATGTTTACCGAAGGAAAAATAATTGTTCTTGCTCATTTTCGCCCTCTTCTGTAAACAATTAAGGTCAATAACCTGAACCAGACGTCTGTCACCATGGTAACTAGTGTTGGGTTACATCATGTTGCAATTTTATAGCAGAAGGGATTTGGACTCCTGTCCCCATATATATGAATGTGTTTGAGTAAGAATTAACAGAGCAGACCATATGCGAAGGTAAACATTTCCTTAGCAAATGTAACCTTAAAAGTTTAATTTTTTATTTTGGAATTATGGCTTGTTTTAGCTGCCCGGTACGATTCTAAAAGTTGTTCTGTGTGCCTGAGGTATTGAAAGGGTCATAGGTGACAATGAGTTCAGAATCCTAGATCTCTAAATCCACCAAGCTTAGCTTGATCTCTTGTCTTTTATCCATATAATGGTCTGGTCATGGCCTAAAACTTTTCAAACTACATTAAAGAGATTATGTCTTCCATAGTTCTATGCACTTACTGGGCTTACTGGCTCTAAGAGAAATGGCCTACATTTTCCCCGGAGTCCTATTAGACGGTGAAGTAGACAGTCCATGCTAGCTTAAACATAAACATATCGGTCACAATGTCATAGTTTAGTTAGATATGAATTAGTCTTAAGTTTGCGAGGTAAAATTTTGACTGAACAAAAGCAACTAGAAAAGCAATCAGTTTCCAAATTTTAAATTGTAAAAACTAGAGAGGATTCTCAAATTAAAGATAAGTGGGGAAAAATCTAAAATGTATTAGGGGACTTCTTTTCAAATGTATTAGCTATAGAATTTTATATCCTCTGTTTTTCATGCTCATTATATTAGATAAGAAAATCATAAATCATTTTTTTTAAATGTTACACAGTGGCAGCAACATAATACAGCATGCCAAACGTAACCGCGTTATTATATAATGTCACCAGATGCGATATCAATTGTCAAATAGAACTGAATATACCTTTCAATGGTTGTCGTAGGCAGTTTATTGGGTTTACATTCGTAAAAAGGTTATACTGCATAATAATACCTCACATGTTATATATTTACGACATTCTAAATGTTCTCCTGGGTTAATTAGTCTATGGATTGGAATGTTATACTTAATTGAGTATAGTCTGACGGATATGGTAGATATAAATATTTCTATAAAATGTGATTACATCAAATCTTATTCTATTTAAAACGTTTTCACATTTTAGAAATCATTTAGAATATCATTATATAAAAGTTACCATACAGCACCCAAGTCTATCCATGATAGTGAAATGTTTTAGTCTATTTATGTTATGATTGTTGCTTTAGTGTGCCGTGGATATAGCAGCTATTTTTGTCCTGCAAAACAGGTCAAATCTGACCTGTATGTACTTTTCCTGGTTGAGAAAAATAAATGAATTGTTCAGCTCCGTTTCGCATGTAGGCCATCAGCGGTCAAATGCCGGGAATACTTCATATAATTGTATTTGGACCATGTCAATGTACGTTTGAATAATTTCCCACTTTCTGTTCCGACCTGTGTCATTTTTTATGTATCTTTAATTTTTCTTTTAAATGAATGGATCCCGACAAATATGTGCATACCCGTTATCTAAATACTAAAATGCCAGTATAGTACATAAAATGAATTTGATAAATAAACATCATTAGGCTACGTGCGGTACGTTAGGTCATGTATGATTTGCCCATGCCCTCGTGTCATAAAGAACATATGTAATACGTCATAAAGAACATATGTAATACGATGGTTGAAACGTCCTTTACAGTGCTCTAGTTGTAAGAAATTACCATAGAGAGTAGCGTTTATAGATCTTCATTACAAGTGACGGCGCCCTCCTTCCGCTGATTGCACCACAGCAAGCGTCTGGAGTCACCCTCTCTCCTCTACTTCAAAAGATCGGTTCACCAGTTTCCGTCATTTCTCATGCATTTTACCAGTACAGGACGAATGAATTAGAATCCGAATCGTCGGTACGTCCTATTTGCAACGCAAAGCCATTAAATTGTGATGTTGAACTTAATTGAAATAATTAATGGTGGAGATATCTCATTCGGTATTAGTGCAAGCTAATTATGTTCTCATGTTATCAACGGATAATTGAAAAAAATGATTTTTCGGTCCCTTTTGGTAAATGTAAATGTTCATTGTTTATATTATGTCTGAAGCTTAAGCCTGTTCAGTATATATGCACAGTTGCATGATACACTAGTTAACGGGGCTTACTAGTATTTCTGTACTGTAGTCTTCAAACACACACACACACACACACACTCACACAAACACACACACACACACACACACACACACATACACACACACACACACACATACCATCAGACGAACACACTCAAAACAATACTTACGAATACATTATATTCGCTATGCATAATATGGTACTTGACAAGGCTTATTACTGCACTACAGTGCCAAAACATATCCATACATGATATAATGTTTAGCGAGGATTATTGCTATGTCTACCTATTACTCCAGATAAGCTTACACACACAGAAATCTACAGACTTCCTTACTTGAAAGTACCTGCTCAGACATGCGTCTGTGTAGAATGCTAAAATTGAGTAATACTCACCGAGGGAACATGCCATCAGCTGTACATGTAGAACCACGAGGAAAATAACGCTCCACGCTAACGTCATCCTCATCCTAATCCAGCTCCACTCTCAGAATCCTGAGAACATCAACATCAAAAAAATTAAATGATGAAAACGATATCAAAGAAACACTCATTTACACGCGTGGAATGCATGAAGACCACTTTGAGTAGATTCCGATTAAAGGCGATGTACGTTTTGCCATCAGGCAGTTTCCAACTGGCCAAGGCATGTATCCTGATAATGTATTCGTTGCATGTTCCGTGCGGTGAATACATAATGTCTTTCCGGGTCTTTCTGTAAGGTAGGTTACTGCTAAATTCGCTCTATTGCCGGGTTGCGGTCACCTCTCGCATGTAAATGGCTCAGGTCGTGATTGCATGGCAGGTTTTGTGTGTCTGTTGGCAATCAGGGATGTGGTAGTGGATCAGGGACCTGTCACGCTGGCTGATTTGTGAGCCTGACTTTATGTGCGTTTAATGAAAGGAATTATTGAATGGCGCCTTTCAAAGCTTCATTAAAACTTCCGTGCAGCCGCCACGCGGTTGCTGTATCGTCTGCAGATGGAGCGTATGGACTAGCCTGGTTACAGACAGAACTTTATTGACACTACAAAAGTACAGCGACTTTCGTAAGGTCTAAGACATGTAGATATACAGACAAATATACATGGGTACGACAAAAATATCCTACGTACAAAACAATAGATGGGTCAACTAATACTACTTGTTCTAAGGTCTAAACATTCTTTGATATATTTAGTTATTATCTTTGATATATTTAGTTATTATACATACGTACAGACGTCGTGCGATGGCTAGCTAAGGGTACTCCCGTGTCGGTCGTGAAGTTGTCGTGCAATATTTAGCCATCAAAAACGCTGTCATCGATTCTTGTCAGTAGTTTGATCTGTGGCAACATGCATGAGAATTAAACGACATCAATTTAGTGCGATGACCTGCGACAAATGTACGATTACAGGCCGGCGGCTTTCCTCTCTCGGCTTTGCAGTTCTCGTGCAGTATTTCGCTGCCTAAATGCTGTGAAACTCTGGAATTCTCTACCTACAGATGTAAAGTCCATCTCCCATGTCAAATACTTTACCAACAGGGTGGTGCAATTCATAAAAGTCAGACAGTTATCTTCAAGGTAGAATTCATATGTTTTTGTTAATGATTTCCATGTAAATAGTTAAGGTTTTTATGCGAATGGGTAATCCCCTCTGTTTTTAAATTATTCATGCTGTATGTTAAGTGTAAATTTGTATGATTGTGTCTGTAATTGTGATGTTACATGTATTTGTATTGGAACCCTGGAAGAATAGCCCATAATGGGCTAAAGGGTATCTCAATAAACTGAACTGAACTAAACTGTCAGTTTGATCTGTCAGTCAGCTTGCAAATTCAACGAAATCAATTCCGTTCGAACCTACGAAGAACGTACGATCGTAAACCAATGGTTGTCGTGCAGTTGTAGTACACACATTAGCTTTCTTTGTACCGAACATGCTGTTTTAGATCCCTGTCAGTAGTTGGATCTGTGACAACCTGCTAGGAAATTCAACGGCATCAATATCGTGCGATGAACCACGACGAATATGACCGCGTTGTGAATAATCGTTTAAGTTTGGGACGTCTGTCCGTAGACATTCTAGATTCACGTGTGTGGATACGTACATGCTCAAATTAATTTAATATAGACTACCACAATGTCTAAATTGAAATTTTAAGAGTTATCCTCTTAACATTTAAAGAGTTGTCCTTTCCTCTATACGGTTTCAACATGTATCGTAGTTTCAATGTAATATGGTGATTGCTATGTGCTACAAAGTAAATTTTAGAATTAAGGAAATACATTGATGCACATGACACACAAGGGTCCCAAACGAGCTGTTTCTCGACTCGAAGAGAGATAACGTACAAGAGTGGCCAAGGATACTTTTCTGTGAAATCGCGGCAACTAGTTTTTCCATGCCAACATTCCCTGACGCCAAACCTTATGAACGGAGACATTAATTTGTATCAGGAAAGGCGTACCGTTACCTGTAGGCATGAAACACATTACTCTTTCAGTGTTATCACAGGAACCACAGCCTTAGTACTGTAGGGACTATTAGGTATGAAGCGAGATAAATCTTATGATTTGTTCCATGAAAAGAGATTTAATAATTGGTTTCCACCGCAATTAGAAACGTAAATGGCTGTGACATGCATATGAGTGGCGATTACGAAAAATTTACGGTAGGTAGTACTACATTATATTATAAACATTGTTCATACTATTCCGTTAGGCCATACTGACTTGATTTTATGGATGGCATCCTCTAAAGAATCACAAACTAGTGCGCGCGGGCGAATAAAAAAATCCGGTATGAAATGCTGCTTAACCACAGGTATGCAATTTACAAAGCTGGTTTTATGAATTTGCCGTAGTACATAGCGAAGCTAAAAAGTACAAAAATGTGCTAAAACAGGTGTTATGTTTCTGTGTAGATACAGAGGTTTTACTTAATAGGTTGAATCAAATTCAGATATGTTTCAAACTTCCAAATCAACATTCTAACATTCCAAATTTTGCTAGTGATATTATTCTATGTTTCCTTGAACCCATCTACTGGAAGAATCGATTACTAATATTTAAAAATCGTCTAACGTTTGATTAGAATAAATTCAATGAGTAAAGAGACTCTTTTTACACAGCCAACTCATTTATTCAGCCGACGTTTCTGTGACCGTCTGTCACCTTTCTCAGGCAGTTCTGACTGGTTCACATTGCTGTCAGAATTTCCAGACAAAGGTGACAGACGGTCACAGAAACGTCGGATGCATAAAACACTTGGTTGTGTAAGAAGAGTCTCTTTACTCAGTGACTTACCAACCTGATTAATATATTCACGTAAAATGAATTCAGTTTTTTAAATGTCCTCGACCTTATGGTTGAATGTTTAATAACCCATAGTGTGACATATAACCACAGGTGAGGATATTGTTGCGGTAGCTTTACGAGCAATATTCCTTCCTGCTGTTTAATCACTAGAGACACTTGATGTATCACCGCGTCTGGAGGGAATCTGTCCTCCTTAACAGGAGCAACTGGTACCTTTTACAAACCCACAGGGTGGAGAGAATTGCCCATCAAACATAATTCTGCAGGACAGGTGCTCTCCATCAAATCGTTCAAAGTAGCGGATGTTTTAAAAGATGTGGAATCACCAGAGGCAGAATACCATAAACCTGTAGCAAGTAAACCCCAGGATGGCTGTTTCTATGATGATATTCCAGTCAGTACCGGTTGGGATTGTGTTGACCCGTAGTTGTGAGGACAGAAAGGTCGCTATGATTGATGAGACTTACGTTAGTATAACTCTGCAAATTCATCATCCGTTAAGAGGGTTGAGGTTTCAGTGGGAAGAGATGGCTTCATCGCACTCTGGGTTTACTGAAAGTTGATTGAACTCATGTTTTTTTAACATGCCATAGTCTCAAAACAGATGTATAAGTGTGTTGGCCATGTCAGATGCGTCAGTATATTGATGAATATTTTCTTTTGCTTCATTTTTTAAATCTTTTATGTTTATTTCTTAATACTTCCCTTGGAAATCAGCCATTATTACAATATAACGAGCTACAAATGTACACTCATGATTCATAAATAGAATTAGAAAGACAAAAAAAACTAACGAAAAAAAAACAATTTCACCACACCTACATGTACCTGATTAAGAAGGTAATCGTTATAAAAATATTCAACTAATTTGGAACTTTTTTTATTTTATAGTGATTTATGACTTTGTTAATTCTGATTTGCAGTGCATAATGCTGATAAGCCTAAGATTTTAGTGGAAAGAAACCGCAATTCAGCACTTGTGCTGCAAGGGTATTTGTTGAATAAACCATTCTCTCTCTCTCTC